AGCTACTTGCAGATTTGGCGAATGTGGATGTTATAGTTGAAGATGAAGACAAGGCATTGTTGTTATTGAGTTCCTTGCCCGACGAGGAATATGAGACCTTCGTCCTCACTCTTATTAATAGGAAGGCATCTCTTTCGTATAGTGAGATCACCGCAGCCCTTGTGAACTATCAACTTCGAAAGAAGGACAAGAAGACTTCCATTGAGCCGGTTGCGGGGGTATTGGTTGCAAGAGCTAGAAGTCCAAACCGTGGTAGGAGGTCGTAGTCTAGAGGGGGGCATCCTGCAGTTGGCAGGAATCAGTGTGCCTTTTATAGAGAAGATGGACATTGGAAAGCCGAATGCCCAAAATTGCAAGCCGTGAAGAATAAGGGGAAAGCTGTTCAAGCTTCAGAGGTGAATATTTCCAAGGCTAGTGGTGACATTTCAGATTCAGATTCTTCGGGCTATTCATGCCCAGCTCTTCCGTCAGTTGGTGTTGCCGACTCCACTGAGTGGATGTTGGATTCAGGTGCTACTTACCACATATGCCCTAGGAGGGATTGGTTCTCCAGCTTTAAGGAGTTGGAAAGAGAGGATGCTGTTCTTATGGGTAATGATCACAGATACCCTATTGGTGGTATTGGTACCATTCGGATTAAGACGAGTGACGGGATGGTTTGGGAGTTGGTTGATGTGAGGTTTGTTCCTCAACTGAGGAAGAACATTATTTCACTTGGGGTATTGGAGGCAGCAGGCTATAGGGTGACCTTGGCGGATTCTCGCTTGATGGTCACATTGGGGTCCATGATTGTGATGAAGGGCGTCAGGAGGAGTAACTTGTATTATCTGCTCGGGAGCATGGTGATTGATAGAGCGCTGACGACTTCTTTGGCTAGACTGTGGCATTGTTTGGTGCTGGAATATATTATTGGTTATGTCGTGCACAGATTGTTGAGGAGTGCTATGACCTACAGATTGAAGTTCTGTGAGCATATTGGGATGAGCGGGGAGACCGAGGTGGAGTTCAGTACTTCTATCCACCGATCGAGGGGTCTTATTAGAGGTGTTCAGTCAGGCATTAGGGGGCCTTCCATGTATGCATCATTAGGAGGCAATCATTATTTTGTTTCCTATGTTAGGGATTGTACTAGGCATTTATGGGTTGCAACCAAGTCCCGTTGGTATGAAGCCCTAGTAGTCCGCAACAGTTGGAGGAGGTGTATTGGCAGAAAGGTTACCCGTCGTACTAGTTCTAGTAGGGGTTCTTTCTTGCATTGGTGCTGAGCTCATGGCAGTTGAAGACACTTCAGAGGGGGGGAGACAGTGGGGCGACGTGATGAGATGGCGGATTTAGTGGGCCGTTCTTTTCTGGAGGAGGATCGACGTTGGTTGTCGAGCAGTGGATTTGGTATTCGGTCTTCGACACGATTGGGCTATCTTATGAGGTTGCCGACTGCTACGTGTAGAGTTGTTAGATCTGGTGGAGCTGCTTCAGATTTTGGTCGGCGTCGGATATTTGGCTACCCAGCACTTGGTCACATCGTTGATGTGAGATTGGATCCGATTGTACATTTGGGATTCAGGAGTTCATTCGGCTATCAGTTGGGAGCTTCTGAGTTTGGTCTGAGCAGGTTTGTCACTTTGGACTCTTGGCAGATAGAGTGTATTGATTAGATCAGAGGGATACCGTAGCGGGTGGAGGTTGATGCTACTCCACATTGGGTGGAGCTTATTCCACATACTCCAGGTCATTTTGCATTAGTTGGGATTCCGGCTGAGGTGACACAGTTTGGAGAACATATTGTTCAGGATGCAGATGACGAGTTGGTAGATCCGTGTGCAGCTGGTGGATATAGCTTGGATATGGTCATTGGCTCACCTCAGGTGGAGGTGTTTGGATCGTTTCAGTATGGGGCCGTTGGTGATGCTATAAGTCGCGCATTGAATGTTGGTATTGGTGAAGTGTTGAAGACTCTTCTTTTGCATTAAGAGCCTTTGGAGGCCATTGAGTGAACTACGTGAAAGCTTGATTCCTTAGAAAGGATACGTAGGCAGTCAGTTATGATGCACCCGATTTGATGAGTAGACACAGTTGTTTTGGGGTGAGTGTTCGCACTCCCGTTTGGGTCTCGACATGTTGTGGATGGGGTCCGTTGTCATGAGTCCGTTGCTATGGCGTACTGGATGCAACAAGCGAGGCATTGGTTTGGTTGGTGTCGGCTCAGTTTGGAAGAATCTTCGCCGAGGTGGAGATTTGTAGAAATGGCAGAANTTGAGAGCGGTCGACCGCGGCGGTCGACCGCCGAAGCGGTTTTGGGCTGGGTCTGTTTTCAGACCCGTTTCGTTTGGGTTTTCTATAAATATCCAAACCCGATTCTGGGATTGGTAAGGCAAGTGTTTTGAGCTGTTGAAAGGAGTTTTCTTTGGGTTTCTATTCTAGGAGCAATTGGTGAGATCAAGAGCTGATTTGTTGAGGGTTTATGAGAGATTTGTAACCCTAGTTGTATCCCCTTGATTTCTAATAGTGAAAACTCCCCCCTCCTTGCCCTGTGGACGTAGGCATCTCGCCGAACCACATAAAATCTGGTGTTGATTGTGTTTGTGCTCTTATTGGTGTGTTGGTTTATCTCTTTCGGCTATTTGGTTGGATCTCGGCATAGGTGTTTCTCCCCAACACTTGAAGTTGAGAAGGGGGTATTGAAGTGAAATAGAAATGAAACTTTGATATATTAAAGTGTTACAAAAAATATTTCAAAGTATCAAAATGAAAAAGATGAATAAAGTTTAAAGTACCAAAAATGAAAACAACGCTTTGGGTAACTATAATCTTACGTCTAACATTTTTTTCTTAACGTAAAAATATTATTGTTTTATTTTATCTGTTGCATGTGAGTTGTTATGCAGCTTAGAATAGTTTATTATCAGAACACATGTGCATGTGTTTCTGTACTTCAGGCTATGCGGATACATATTTTTAAATATTACATTAGTTATGAAATCCATTAGTGCTTAGGCAGGCTAAGATTTTATCGTGTGGTTAGTGGGCGTTTGACAATTTGAAAGTGAATTTAAAATATGTAAACTATTTTTTTAAATGACTTTCACATCTGTATTGGCATGCAAGTGAAATACAGTGTTTTAAAAAAAGTTAAATTATTATTAAAAGTGCAATGTGAAGATGACGTGACATAATGAGATTAATTAGGAAATATAATTGAAATCATTTAATTAAAATTGGTTATTGTTTCTCACTTTTATGCGACTTCATCACTTTTTTAGAGGAAATCAAAATTGCATTAAATGCTATGTGACAACTTTCTTTGATTTCACTTTCATAACCACTTTAATTACATGCAAACAAACACCTACATTAATTGCTAAAAAGTTATTTTCTTACTTTCATCTTTCATTTACATGCAAACAAACACTCCCTTCGGTCAAACTCTACTTTGTTTCAAGAGAGTACATATCCTATCGAAACTGAGTCTAACAGTGGTGACTGGTGAGCACAAGTCATCTTGAAAATTTGTCTACAGCATAATGGGATGTTCTGATAGGATATGCACCTACTCTTCTTCTTCTTCTTACTCAGAGTCTGATGGTATGTGAAATTTTTTATTTTTCCTTCAAAGGGTTAAGTATCTAGGAAAACCTTGTGCAGGATAACTTCGTGACAACGTTAATGTGTGGATAACTTAGGCAGGATAACTTTGTGAGACTTGATTTGCGCGTTTGATAGGTAAAGATTTTCACCAAATTAAGGATCATTTATTATTTCCTCCAACTAATCACCGATTTAGATTGATAGATAAATATCACATGAGAGTAATAAAGCCCTCAATGATTTAAAGATCTTAAATTTTGAAAGTTAAATTATACGAATATTAGAGAGAAATTAGCTAGGCACGAACCAAACTCCACTTATCACGGAGTTTAAATTGTAGTTAATTACGAGCATAATCTGATATTATAATTAGTCTCCTCGTGAACTTGATATTTTTATGCAACCCCGTGACAATAAACAAGGGGTCTATTTCCAATTGACCAACATATTGATCAGAGACTAATATGCTACGTCTAGAGATGCTATAAACGGATTGCTTATTGTTGGTGTTCTAAATTTGTCTTAACTAAGGATATCATAACAAATTCAAGGTAAATCTTGTATCAAATTACGATTACGAGGGACTTACATCAAATTTGTGATACGCAAAGGATTAAGATCAACTATTGCAAGTTTTTTACTTAAAAAATAAGAAAAATATAGTACAAAAAGCATATAATAGTGAGTGGCTGTAGAAATGCCACGTATTTCAGCTCTGTTAGTATTTCAATTTTTCACTGGTAGTCTAATTAAACAAAGAAAAAGAAAAAGAAAAAGAAAAAGAAAAACCAGATGAACGCAAAAGTGATGACAAAAACTTATGATATATTTTGCATTCTTTCTGGGACATTATCATGGACTCAGACATCCTCAAAAAATAAAAACTTTTATCATGTTAGACCATAACTTCTATCCTATTTTGAGTTAAACCCTACAAATTTTTTACATTTATAACGCCTCCACATTTGAAATTTACACCCCCAATTCATTATATCCTTTTAGATAACACCCCGTACATATATATCAAGGTTTTGAGGGGAAATTGCAACTATAAAGATGTAGAGGCGAGCATAGTATTAATTAGAATAGGATATAAATACGTAGAAATCCAAATTAAAGTACAATTCTTGAATCTTTTATTAAGATCATCTTCAGAAATCTCTTGCTGTGCTAATATAAGCCACAATGCATGAGTACATTGAATAACACCATAAATATTTTTCCGTAGAATAAATATATTTATTTTCTTATAAATGGAACATCACAAGAACCAGACGCTGGAACAGACAAGGTACACCCAGCGCAGCCAACTAGGAACCACGAACTTCACCAGCCAATAAAATTCCTCCACGTGTAAAACTCGCCGGGGCCCGCCGCAGCTCGCGGGGTTTTAAGTTCAAAGAGCCAGCCCCTCTCCTCGTTCACCCCATCGTCTTCTCAGGACCCCGGCGCCTCCTATAAATAGCAAAAAGAGGTCAAGAATCCATTTTTAGGGTTTCGTTTTGACCTCCAACAGAGAAGAGAGAAGCTAGAGAGCTTCTCCTCTCTCTCGTTAGAAGGAGCGGATTCCGCCCTGCTCAGATATCAAGGTACACTTTTAATTTTTGGGAATATTTTGCGTCTTTTTTGGCGGTTTTTGGATGTCGAAATGTTAAGGATGCTTCGTAATTTAGTATTTTGGTGGTTTCTTTGTTAAATATCTCTTTTTTTTACCTTTTTAAATTTCATTTCTGTACTTGTAGTACTTCTGGTTTACTAAACCCTAATTTGATATGAAATGGGTGTATCAAAATTTTCTCTCTCTCTCTCTCTCTCTCTCTCTCTCAGATATCTGAATATATTAATTAAATTACATCATTGAGTTTAGTTTTGACTAGATTTTGGCAGCACTTTTTTTTTATATCAAAGTTCAGAAAATACTGCTTTTGAGTTGGATTCACGTGCATTTGCTCCTCAAAATTTGGTCAAAGTATGGGACTTCCATCGCGAAAATTCTCTCTCCTCTCCCAAAGTTGAATTTTTAACAGAAGTTATCAACATCTTCTGCCTTGCTTAGTAGGTTTCCTTTTGCCCTAATGCTTATTTTTAGGGTAAATAGCAAATAATAGTTTTTGTCTATACCTTTAGTAACACTTATCACCCCACAACTTATTTATTAGCACTTATCACTCCCAAAATTCATGGGAAATAGGAGAGCTATCAGCAATTTATTATTCTGAAAATATCAATTCATAAGTGCATAAAATAGTTGATGGGTGATAAGTCTTAGTGAATATATAAAATGAGGGGGTTACTTGCAACTTACACTATTTTTTGCTTAGCCGTAACATCAATGTTATGTTAAGTATTAACTAATCCATTGAACAATTTTGTTTTAAATGGAAGTTGTTGAAACCTGGGAGATTAAGAATTCTGGTGCTCTCACCCAAATAATTCCTTCTCCATAAATTTTAACATTGTTAAATAACTGGTTTTTTTTCTTAGGATTTTACTCGAGAATGGATCATATCAGGCATCCATTTAGGGGAATCATCAGTGATGTCAATGGTAGAGCACCGTGTTACCGGCAAGATTGGATGGCCGGGTTTCATTCAGGATTCAGGTACTTGTATTAATTTGAAAAAAATAAGTTAAAGGTTAATTTATGCAATTCTGTTAATTGTTTTGCTCATAATTTTTTTTTCAGGATCTTGGCACCTACTATGTACATCTTTTTTGCTTCTGCTTTACCTGTTATTGCTTTTGGAGAGCAGCTAAGTAAAGACACAGGTTGGTTTTAACTTGATTTTGATGCTATATAATGATTTTTTAAGAGTTCACGATATCTACTGTTCTCCGTTTACAGAAGGAGCACTAAGCACGGTGGAAACTTTAGCTTCTACTGCGATTGCTGGTATAATACACTCGATATTAGGAGGACAGCCCATGTTAATTCTTGGAGTTGCCGAACCGACTGTGATAATGTACACATACTTGTACAATTTTGCCAAAGACCGAGAGGACCTGGGTGCACGACTATTTTTGGCTTGGGCTGGATGGTATTGTAGTTGTGAAGATGAAAAGAGTTTGGATCAGTTAGTCTCATGTTTCTTAGTTAATATGATTTTTGATTTGCAAAACGTACCTTTCGCAGGGTTTGCGTCTGGACTGCTATCATGCTGTTCCTTCTGGCAGCTTTTAATGCTTCTGCTATAATTAGTAGATTCACCAGGGTCGCAGGAGAACTCTTTGGGATGTTAATCACGGTTCTTTTCTTTCAAGAAGCTATCAAGGTGGTGATTTTTTTCTCTCTCTATTTTGAGTCTGGAAAGTAATCTTAATGAGAGAAATTAGTGCTAATATTTTTTTTTTTCATTTTTTTTATTTTTTTTGACTATAGGGTCTGGTGAGTGAGTTTAATGTACCAAAAGGCGAAGATTCGAGTCTAGTGGTAAACCAGTTCCAGTGGCTTTATACGAACGGATTGCTGGGCCTCATATTTTCTGGTGGCCTTCTGTACACTTCATTAAAGAGTAGAAAGGCAAGGTCATGGAGATATGGCACAGGTCTGTGATATTCCAAGTTATTTACCGTGTCATCAAGTAACCCCCCAAGGGGTGATGGTAAGAGTCGTAATTACTGTTTACAGGGTGGTTTAGAAGTTTCGTTGCCGACTACGGAGTTCCTTTGATGGTAGTTGCATGGACTGCAGTATCATATGCAACCCCTAACAAAGTTCCTTCTGGGGTTCCAAGGAGGCTCTTCAGCCCCCTTCCCTGGGATCCCAAGTCGGTGCATCACTGGACTGTTGCAAAGGCAAGAGCAAACGAACTATTATTCTCATGAGTTAATTAATGCCTTTAATTTTTGGTTTAGTTGGACCTTAAGAATAGTTCGTACTTATTCAGGGTCGAGAAGAATTCTCTCGTCACAGTAGGTTTTTCTTTCAGTCGAAGGTGGATAATTTTGTCATGTTTTATTAATAAGAAACAATGAAATAAGTCATATAATTAAGGCAACTCTAACAGATCCAGTTCTATAACACTGCAGAATCTATGCCAACACGAACCAATCTCACGCTGCAATTCTACTGCAATACTTCTACGCTGAACCTACATGGATAGATTCAAATAAAGCTGACAATATTTTGCTCATAATTATTCCTTTTTTTTAAATACTAGACATGTCCAAGCATAGCCAAATAGAAATATGACTTGGCAAGGTTAGTGATGAGTTATCTACAGCTACGTGAACCCACTCCATACATAGTGTATTGTACTATCATGTTTTCAGTTTTCTGTTTATCAAAATTTGGTGTTTGAATATTAGTATCTGGGCCGGACGAATTGAAGCATATTATCTGATTATAGCTAAGCATCATTTTTTAAGGTTTACAATGAGATTTTCTGCTAATAATTTTCCACTAGTTATATTACAGTCAGTCATGAATCTTTTGCGGAAAATGTTCTTCTTCTACTAAAGAAGAAATCATGCAGTCTGTTTATACTATCTTGGCACCTAATTGATCTTTCTATGTATTACTGCAGGATTTGCTGTCAGTTCCCGTGGTCTATATATTTGCTGCAATTATACCCGCCCTTATGGTTGCAGGCCTTTATTTCTTTGACCATAGTGTTGCTTCACAGTTGGCACAGCAGAAGGAGTTCAATCTTAGAAACCCATCAGCTTACCATCATGACATCTTAATCCTTGGTTTTGTGGTACAAATATAACCTTTTGAATTATTTTTCCTACATGCTCGCAGGTGTACTCCAGGAAGACAGCCATTCATTTAAGCCTCTGTGATTTTGTGATTCCAGGTTTTGATTTCTGGATTGCTCGGAATTCCTCCTTCAAACGGGGTTCTTCCACAGTCTCCTATGCACACCAAGAGCCTTGCTGTTCTCAAGGGACAGGTCTGTATTAGTATATATGTGATATATGGCCATTGTGCTGATGCCTGCCACTTAAATTCTCAGTTTTTGAAATGTTGTGAAATTCATATCTGCAGTTAATTCGAAAGAAAATGGTTGAAAGTGCTAAAGAAAGCATTCAGAAGAAAGCCAGCAACTCAGAAGTATATGGGAAAATGCAAGAGGTTTTTATAGAAATGGACAAAGGACATACAGTAAGTTCTTAGTCATGAAAATTTCTTATATTTTATATACGTACATTATTATTTTTTGACTGTCGAGTATCATGGTTGTGAATGAGCTTTCATTGGTGATTATGACTTCAATAATTTTCTAGCATTCTCCTTATGTGACAGATAGCATTTTTCAACAAAAGTAAATATATAGACATACATACATACATATATGTATATATGCATGTGTGTCTACACACACATACATATGTATGTATATACGTATGTATATATATACGCACATATATATACACACATATGCATATATATGTATACGCATATGTATATATATGTGTATACATATATATACATATGTGTGTGTACATATGTGTGCGTGTGTGTGTTTGTGCACAGATATGAGTTAACAACTCATTTTGCTAAATTAGCTACCGAGAGATAAACTATGGTAGGGCCTCCCTTACAAATCATATCAAAATGTGCAAATCTCACCACTTTTATCTCTAGATAGTTTATTTGCTAAATGATATTGTAGTTCATATCTAGTATATCCTATATCGTATGCACGCGTTCACGTGTGTGTTAACTAGCATTTGAAAAAGATTTTTGAAATTTGTTTCAGAACTATTTGAGGTAAAATCACATCAAAACTCAAAAAAGAAGCTATTACCCTTGAAGCTTATGCCTCATTGCCTAAAACATAACTAAAAGTGAGCATTTCAAGCTCCTCTTTTGAAGCCCACGCGTTAGATAGGAGGATAAAAAAAAGATTTTTGACTAAATTTGAAATGTGTACCAATAAATAACCATGTGACTATAAATGTTATATGTAGCTATTCAGTATGACACTTAAAACTAGGATGAGTATCTATTCAGTATGATCATGTGACTATACATAAGGTATATATCTTATATACATAACGTCAAAGTTTTAAATATCAGTTATTGAAAATATATGTGATGACCAGAATTCATATCGGATCCCAGTTGTCAGGAATATTTTAGGGATAAGTTAAGTGTTATATTAATTGTATGGTGAGCATATACAATATAATATCCTAAATGTAGTCTGAGAACATATAATGAAATATTGAGGGAGAGAGTCTTCGAGAAAGGTCGCTAATAGAGGCCTTAGAGTGAGAAATTTGTGAGCGATTTGGGGAAGAGAATAGTGAAGGTAGAGAGAATTAGGGTTATACAATGAGTGGATATGAAATAGAACAGGATAGCATGATTTTTGTTTAGCGGATGGGGGCTGGGTATAGAAAAATAGGGGTTTTGCCTCCAAACCCAAACCAGTTCTTAGAATGTAAATTGTAGAAAATTGATGATTTTTAAATTTTAATCTACGAGAAATCTGCCGCTTTATCGGATTTATAGGAATCGTATTGGGCATGACCCAAACCCTATATATCGGCAATAAATCAATAAAATTGGCTTATTTTTAAAACACTGTGTAGCTTAGTTTATTATTTTTATGTCTATACTTAGCATATTTATATCTTATTTGTTAATCAGGATCTGAATATATCTATTTGTAAGTTATTATACTGCTCCATATTATATATCTATAATACTAACAACTTGTAAAAATAAAATATACTTAACTCATGAGGTTTGCGCTTCATGTTTTAAAGCTTACACCTCGCTTTATAAAAGGATCTAACATTTCGCATTGCACTTTCACTATTTTAAACATTGGTTCTGATAAAAGTTTGTAGGGAGCTATGTTCGACTTTTTCTCTTTTTGTAGCAGTTAATTGTGATGCTACAAATAGGAAAATTTTCTTCTTTAGCCTTCAATTAAAAGATTTTGTGTTTTTATTCAATGCCCAGGACCAAGTCTTGACTTTTGTACGTGAAAGAGTTACTTCTTTGAGTTGTGATTCTCTTGATGGCTAGTTCTTTTGACATGTTAAAACTTCCAATCTTTCTGAATGTTCAGAACAATTACGCTGTGATCCTAATGGAATTGCATTTGACACTTTTACCTTATTATGCAACAGATGATGCCCTTATTCTGCTTTTATAAGGAAAAAGATTGTGTATATGTTTAATGATATATATTAAAATTTACCTTCAATTACCAACCATAATAACTTACAACAACTTGCTATCTGCAGCCTATCTCAGTAGATAAAGAACTGAAGAACTTGAAGGACGCAGTTATGGGGAACAAAACCAATGGAGAGGAAAAGAAAGATTCATTTGATCCTGAGAAGCATATAGATGAATACTTGCCTGTTCGTGTAAATGAACAGAGAGTTACCAACCTGCTGCAGGCTCTCCTTGTGGGTGCTTCCCTTGGAGCTATGCCCGTAATCAAGAAGATTCCCACCTCAGTGCTCTGGGGATATTTTGCTTACATGGCTGTTGATAGTCTCCCTGGAAACCAGTTCTGGGAAAGGCTATTACTTCTGTTTATCACTCCTGGCCGGAGATACAAGTAAGTCTTTGACATTCGTGTTACATACATACATACATAGAGAAATGCATAATACATGTATTATTTGTATGCACATACGTATGTACATATACGCATATAAGCATTTGTTTGCCAGCACAATGTGTACCATGCTCTTCCTAACAGAAGGTAGAAAAGTAACGTAGCAGAAAGAAAGTACATTAAAATTACATGACTTAACGTGGCCTCATCTGAAAACAAAAGGCGACGCGAGTTTCATGGATTAACGCAGGATCATGAAGCCATTCTTTCTTGTAAATTGCAACTCCAAAGCGTCGGGTAGATGAATAACCCTCTCGCCATCTTCAATAAAGAAAGCACTCTACTTTCCTACTTTTTGTTGTATTGTCCATTTTTATCAAGAAACAATCTTAAACATGAGCTGCCAGCATGTTAAGCAATACATTAGGAAATTATTTCAGAACATAGGCAGAAAATAGAAAATTAATACTTCTACTTAAGTTTTATTTCTAGCACTTTTAGTCCATAGCCCCAAGGATAATGCGTCTTCCATACCAAAATGATATACTTTGAACTTGTACGTTAAAGCATGCACCCGAGGATTACTAATCCATAAGGTGGTGTTAAAATGAGAATCTGATAATCACAAGATGCAGCATAAAGTGGAGCTTTTGGTTTACAGTCCAGTCTATACTACTTGTGATGAACAAAGTGAGGGCACTCAAAATTTGAAGGAATGACTGAGAACGCCACCATATTCCTCAAAAATTTGAAAAGTGGAAATTGGATACCGCGATTTATATAGCTTCAAATGCTGTGGCTTTCAAAAAAATTATGTTTTTTCTAGCATTTATATCTTCTGTTGATACTGTATAATGTGATATTTATTCACCGATTTATCATGACTTGATAGATTAGAGAGTGGTTACGGATTCTTTTAACCGATTTCAGTTCTAATTTAATTTGACTTTCGTATTAGGATGCTTTTTAATCCTAAGTGACATAAATATATTTGGCAGGGTTCTAGAAGGCGCACATGCATCATTTGTAGAATCAGTTCCATTCCGGAAAATAGCTATCTTCACAATTTTCCAACTCGTGTATCTTCTGGCGGTTTTTGGTATTACATGGATACCAATAGCAGGGATTTTGTTCCCTCTACCATTCTTCATTCTGATTGGCATCAGGCAGTATCTTCTACCTAAATTTTTCAACCCGTATCACTTATGGGAGTTGGATGCCGCTGAATATGAAGAAATTGAAGGCGTCCCTCAGCGAGAGCGTACCCTCTCCTTCGCGGTATGAAATTATCTTTTTATCTCTTCTTTTTCGTTTTTCAATGTGATAGCATTTTGGAAAGAGCATTATATGGTTTTATCGTGTCAGCAGGATCAAGATAGGGCACAATTGGGCAGTGAAGAGGGCGCTGTCGATGTTTTTGATGCTGAAATACTGGATGAGCTCACTACGAGCAGAGGAGAACTCAAGCATAGATCTCTGAGCTTCCATGAAGAGAGGGCCTTGCAAGACTTGCAGGTAAATAACAATTTAGTAGAAGGACTTTTACAATTAGGTTCTTTTAAATTCATAAAGCCTATGGAAACTGATACTGCGGATGATTAGGGTATCATATCAAAAGATGAAGGCGAGGATCGGTGTTTCGGTATAGATAAATTATATCAAATAGGGATGGATATGTCAGCATTTAAACATTTGTGAAAATTTGCATTAATTTTGAGGGTAAATTATTGAAGGAAAAAAAAAAGCACTCTATAGTTTGCAAGGATTACGCTAAATCTCCTTAAGGTTTTAAAAGTGACATAGCTACTCTTTGCAGTATAATTTGTACATAATCCAAAACATCATATTAGTTGGCCATCTAGTCGGAAAATTTTACCTTTACGTGAAGTATTCTCTATTTATTGGTTCCATTATCTTCCCCCATAATAACCTATAAACTTTTTTTTTTCTTCATAGGTTCACCCTGAGATAAACTCGCAAAGGAAAGACTAAAACCTGGAGCGTGCTACTGATCACCTTCAAAGCGAGAAACGAAAGGCCGGAGTACTGTAAACGTGTAAAGAGTAGGAAAAGGGAGTGCGTCTCAGCTTTGTGTCTCTGTGATTAATCGTGTTAGTTGAAAGTTTAGAGCTACGTGGAAACTGCGAGCGCTACTTGTTGTTTGTAAATTAAGTTTTCAGAATGTACTACTGAAAACAGGGAGCATGTATGATATAACACAAGAATATGTGTTGTTGAGCTTCCACTACATGTATAATAACAACGAAGTAGATGGTTTTTTGGTCTGCCTTTTCTGTGTCTATACGATAATCATATTAGCCCCTAAAGCTGTCTTTTCTACAATATGGACCTTGGGCGTAGATTAGCGAAGAATTTCCCCGTCCAAGAACTGCGTCTACGTGCAGAAAATAGTCAGGTGTAGCTTAAAGCTGTACGTCTTGAATTGGTCATTTGGCGTACAAAGAACTATGGTTATGAAATACAAGTCCTCTGATCAAGCAAAAACTGGAAATTCTTGGTTATGGAAACAGATTTTGAAGATTAGAGATAAAGCTTTGAGGTTATATAATGGAGTTGATAATTTGAAGGCTCTCTTTCAATCTTGCTGCAGGAATTCAGATATTAAAATTTCAGCCCTATATACTGCTATATCTCCAGCTCCAGGTTCAGTTCCTTGGTACAATACAATCTGGGATGCTGCAAACATTCCCAGACATTCCTTCATTAGCTGGTTAGCAATGCAAAATCATCTCCTTACTCAAGACAGGCTTAACAATTGGGGGATTGTGAATAGCAATACTTGTTCTTTATGCTCTGTTTCCAGCCATGAAACTAGAGACCATCTCTTTTTTGATTGCCCATTTTCGAAGAGTGTTTGGAATATGGTGATGGAATGGTTGCAATTTAAGTGGAGGTCATGCATCTGGTCTCAAATTTACTCCTGGTACTGCTTCAGGTTAAGGGGAAGGGGATTCAAACAAAAGATTAAACGAATGGCTTTAACCTCGACAATTTACAGTATATGGATTGAACGGAATTCCAGAATTTTCAAGATGAAATACAAGTCCTCTGATCAAGTGTTCAAGGAGATAAAGCTTAGCATTTTATCAAATGTTCTCAACAGCAATTTTTCGGATTCTTGCAGAGCTTGGATACGTTCTCTGTAATTAGTTGAGTTTGTGAGCTTTTTGACATAAAGCTTTCTCTTGTATTCTCAGGTTCTGAGACTTTGATGTGCTATATTTCAATATTTGGAAAATGAATAAATTTTTCATTTACCAAAAAAAAACTATGGTTATGAAACAATTATAAAGCACACTTACGAAATTCCATGGCAAAACACAAAATTTTAAAATAAAGAATTACGCTGAAATAATTTTGATAAGTTTACGTGTTATTTGGAAATATCCCGAAGTTCTTTTGTCGTTAATTTGCAAACATACACTATTATCTGGGCTCCCTTCTGTTCATAGAATTTGACCAAGGATTTTGACTGGTAAGACAATGTGCGTGAGTCTCAAGGATAACAAATGTTGTTATTATTATTGTTGTTGTTTTGTTTCTTTGAATGTTTTGTGGGATGCAATAATATCAATATTTGCATAGCATAACCTAAAAGAAGGTGGGGGCGATCCCACGGCGAGATATTTAGCGAGGTATTGAATACAGGAATTCCACCCAGCATCGTGCCAGCTGGTTATATGACATGCTAGGTTGTGCTCAGCTGGAAAAAGGATAATGGAAAATTCACCCAGAACGGATTGACATTGCCTATACATGTTAAGATCATAAAAAAAAAAAAAATTTAGGGACTATACTATCAACTGCCACTATTTTTCTCACTTGCCAATATTTTTATTATAATAATGCATGTTGGATACCAAGGACTATAGTACTAGTGTTGGGAATTTATCAAATAAATAAAGATTATAGCATGAATTTAAACCCGGAAAATTAAAAACAATTAAAACTGGCCTGACGGGAGCAGTCGTGTAAACACTGCCCTAGAAGATTGAGGACCCGCCTATCGCCCTGGCGCAGATGATCCCTTCTCCCCTAGCGGTAAAAACCCCCGGAAACGGTCCGGCCTCTGCACTCGGGCGAGAGTGCAGAGCTTCAGCTCAGATGAAGAAGTTGCCCATAAAGTAAAACTAAAGTATAGATGAAAATGATATGTAGAGGAGAAAAGAAAACAAGATAAGTTTTTCACATTTTTCTTCATCTTTTTTTAGCTCAACATATGTTGTTTATATAGGGGTTGAAAAGAGCCGTTACAAAATCCCTCAATAAATTTCGTAACGTTCGTCATAATGTATGGTCATTATGCCCATTTTAATTACAAATTAAAACACATTAAAACATATTTTAATTGCATATTTTAATTACAAAATTTATTAGAATTCATTAAGGCAAAATTGCCTTTTCTTTAAAAATATCCAACAGTCCCCCCCAAAAGGCAATATTGACTGAAAAATTCAAAATAATAAATCAATAAACAAATCACAAAATAAATATAGATTGGGCAACCTTTCGTATCGTGAATTCGGGAGAGGTAGCTTTCGGCTTTGAACCTTTCCTTAGTGAGTTCATCGCCACCTGAGGGACATAATGGACTAGGCCTTGAATTAGGCCCCTTTAATCAGGTATTGATGAAAACACACACAATACGCTTCATCTATTGAGCAAAGCGGGTTGAGCGTTAAAGGCCATGCTCACAATAAACCGACTCATGAGAGTTTCTAGGGGTTAGCCCAGCCCCCCCTAACCGCGGCCATCACGGTTCCTCTCACGTAGGTAAGTCCTCAAAGGGTACTACAGCTGTTTATTTAATACCCCCCACAATACACGCGTTGGACTTATTAAGAGTAAAACTCAGCCTAGCCAGCTGTATCATAAGAGCATCGTCATCATAGAGAAGGGGTAGTAGCAAATGCTACATAATGATATATAAATATATCTAGGTCGATGCTCCACACGAGTGTCACTAGTCCAGCTTGTTTCTACCACATTGAACCGACATTGGGACTACGTCTCCAAATAAGGGTTGGGTTGCCGCTGTCAGTGACCTCATCTATGGGCTTAACCCCATCTCCCTCGATGAATCCAGAACCACACTCCTGGATAATCCCTTAGTCAAAGGGTCATCAAGATTCTTTTCACAGACTTTACAAAGTCTAGAATCATAACTTTGCCTAGCAGGCGTTGTATTTATTTATCAAGTTCTTATTTTGTAATTAGTCCATCATATTGTTTGAAATTGACATTAGGTCATGATCTATGATCATAAAAGATCATAGTCTATGTCTGAAGAGATTGACCTTAATATCTGAACATTTCAAACTAATGTGGAACTAAAAATTCTGCAGTTATGCATATGCACATACATGAATGAAATTAATAATAGATACATGCAGAGCATAATAGGATTTCGTATCTTAAAATATATTTTCGTATCTTAAAATATATTTCATACTTCATAATTCAAATGCATAAAATTTTTAAAATTATTCTATTATAAGAGGTTACAAATTGGTTGCCTACAAAGGAGACCGTCCAAATTTAAATCGGTTGCCTACAAATGAGACCTTCCAAATTTAAATTGGTTGTCTACAAAGGAGACCTTCCAAATTTATGTTGCTATTTTCTAGTACCACCTCTTATACAAATAATAATAATAATTGTACATACGTGCTTTAAATTTTTCAAGTGCATTCTTGCATAAAACCTTGTAATTAATCATGTAACAAATGCAAGTTATCTAAAAAGACATATGAACATTTATTGCAATATTCATCAAAATGCAATAAAAGTGATGAACTTTACATTTGAAGATTTGAAATATAATCCACCATATAAAATAGAATTTTAAAAAATGCACCTCTTTGATTTGTTCGCTCATATATTGATCATTTATCATTAGGCAATATATGATGCAAGAAGCGTAATTAAATAAATGCATATGAATTATTCTCATAATTCTGGTCCTCTTATTCCAAACCAAAAACTCCTAAAGTGAAAAGATTAAAGTTTTACCCGGGTAGTTAGCCAGGTAAGGATAGTAATAGAGGTTGATCAAAGATCAATTAAGTACCTCGTTCCTTGCAGAGCGCATTACGCAACCCTTAAACCTTGCCTTAGACACCAACTAATCCAAGAAAACTTGAATCGGTTCACTCAATGAGTTTTTGTTCCTTAACAGTATATAGAAACTTTAAATTATTTCCTGTAATCATTTAAAATGCCTAGCAATTATACTGCAAACATATGTTGGATAAGGCCGAGGAGGGGTTTACCTATTGATGTTCGAACCTCATGATTTTCATGTCTTGAGAGTAAAAACTCATCTGCTGCAGACAACTGCCACAGAAGTTGCTGAACAAATTTGCATTCACTTTTACCACCTTCTGTACTAAGCTTATTAGATGCATAAATACACTAAAGTATGGAATTATTAATAGAATGCACAATATTATTGATAGCTTAAAGAAATAATAGTATTAAACCATGAACAAATCCAGATATTTCAAAGCATCTATGCATCCAGAGTTTGTTCTCTTTATTCTTGTCAAAACCATGCATATAAAATTTTTAAGAATAAAAATATACACTGCTGCAAATTTATAGCATGTTTCAAATGCGTGTATATTCACTAGCACAAGGGATAAGGGTAGGTTTTAGATGATTCTAACAAATATAAACTAGGCTTTTAGAAACCAATAAAGGTTCTTTGATATTCGTAACTTACAATAATTATTGATTATAAACCAACTATAAGACAAATGTAATTAACTGTTAAATTGAATTAACAGAAATATTTAACTACAATTTTTTAATTATTAATTTTTTTTTAAAATAACCAAAACTGTTTACATGAACAGTAACTTTTTAAATAAAATGAACAATGCCGTTTTCAAAATAAATGAACAGTAACATCATTTTTAAAATTAAACAGTAACGCCATTTTTTAAGAATGAACACAGTAACACCATTTTTATAAATGAGCATTAACATTCTTAAAAATAAATAAATAGTAACGTTCTTTTTTTTTAATGAACAGTAACATTCATTAAAATGAATGAACGATAAACTTTTTTAAAACATTAAAAACTGTTTAAAATGAACAGTAATGTTTTTTAAAATAAAATTAAAATCTGTTTTTTAATGAACAGTAAATTATTTTATAATGAGCAACAATTCTGATTAAATTGCAAACAGTAATAGCAATTTTTTTTTAATTCGGATGAACAGTACTATCTCAAATGAACAGTAACGTTAAAAATTATTTTTC